AAAAAAAAAAAAAAAAAAAAAAAAAAAAAAAAAAAAAGAATCGATGAACATCCTGGTACAACCTTTCGCTCATATCTTGCGAAATTTACTTCGAAAACTCGTTGAATTATTATTATCGATTATCCATCGACATCGATGGTACAAAATTAATCTGTAGAAAAATGGAAATTTCTATTTCGTGTACGCGATCGAGAGAGAGGATAGAAGAATGAAAGATAGAAGAACAAATAATGATGAAAACGTGTTGGAATAAATTCTCAGAATTTAAATTCTCATACTTTTCGTATTTATAATTTGGAATATATATATATATATATATATATATATATGTATAAAGCTGCATAATAGTGTTGATAAAAAAGTTGAAAAAAAAAATATACAATATTAAAAATATTTAAATCATATTAAAATTAGACTTATTATCTAAGTTTAATTTATTTATATACATTAATCATAAATATTAATAAAGAATTATAATTAAGATATTTAATAACTAAGATATAATTATGAAACAGTTATAAAATAATTGAAACAGCAGAATATTATTATTATTATTCCATATTACTTATTATATCAATTTGTATATATATCGAACAGTGAATTTGTCAAATCTTTCGATATCTTTTCAAAACCAAAGATATATATATATATATATAATTAAAAAAATATAATATTTACGTTAATTGAATAAAATATATTTTACATAATTATTATTGTACTTTATTTATTAAAATTTTCTTTGTTTTTTATTTATGTGATCCATTCTTCGAGATCTTCAGATGAATTATTTATTTAATAAATAATTCAACAAATGCAATATTTCTGATTTTGTTATCGATCATTTTAACCTGATAATTTTCTTGCTCTCTCTCTCTCTCTCTCTCTCATGCTGGTCTTTACGATAAATTATTTATCTCGTAGCACGTATTCCTTTGTATTGTTCTTTTCATTCGATTTCCAAGTTTTCTTAGTTATTATAATGTTTCTCTTTTTTTCAAACTTAACGATCAATTCAATTTTATATCGATAAAAAAAAAATTTTTTTCACACGTATGTTTTCTTTTCTATATTAAAACTTTATCACTTCTAATTATTCTATTTTTTTTTTACCTTTAAGAAAAACACGTTATTTCAATTTTAATTCCAATTAATAATTTCGACATCAATTTATACAACAAAAATCCACGTTCAGGTATAAAATTATTCTTCCAAGAAAAAATAAATAGAATTCCGTTTTCTGGTTGTTTACGAGAAAAATATCAATACAACCAATCGGGAATTTCATGTTTAATTCATCGTTTTGTTAACAGAATTGTAAAAAAGTAAAGTTTTTTGTTGGTATACCTGCTGAAACTCAACAGTTTGCATTCCAAAGAGCAGCACAAATGGCTGGTCGATAATGCAGCGTGAAACGCGAGTCAGGCACAATAATTAACCAGGAATCCCACTGCCATTTGTGACCACGAAAATGGCTGAACTCGACCGCTATGGGGCACTGCGGCTACGTGGACACGGACCTAACCTAAATCCCATTGAATCCCATGGCTGGCTAAACGGTATCGGTACAAATTGCCTGAGCCCTCCGACTATCTGTATACAATCTCTGTATGGAACGTGGAATTTGAACGGGACAATAGATAAATTGAAAATTTAAAATACGATTAAATGATTGAACGATCGTTAGAAATATTTGAAACGTATAATACGAGGTATAAATATGAAAATTTAAAATTAAACATTTAAACGAGTTTAAATTATACAGCGAGATTGGTAATGTAAATAATTCTACGAAAATATTAATTCTTGAATTAAGTTATTGTAGGAATATCCAATTGAGGAAATAAACTTCGGGAAAATTCTAATTTAGTCTATCGTTGTCACGTCAGTGGAAACTATAATAGCTTTGGAACACCTACTGCATTATGCTTGAAAAGTGATAGCACCCAGTCTTTAAATATATTTACCTCCTCCCACGTCTTTCGTGTCAAAATCTAGTTTTTTTTTTTTATCAGTGACTTTTACGTAACTACGTATGAAATAATAAAATAATTTTTTAACAATAAAGAATAACAAATTTCAGAATGAATGACTATATTTAACTTAATTATACTTGAATACTCGATACTTGATTTGTATGCATTGGATATTTTCTCAATCGATAATTCATTTTAACGCTTTATTAAAAAACTTTTAGAAAATGTATTAAACTTTAAACTTCTATTAAAAAACTTCGAGTGCATTATTTTGCTTACATACGATAATCAATGATTTTTAAAACTCCCTATATATATTTAAAAGTAATCAATTTCCGATAACCAATCGCCCTCAAGACACTTCGATGTCACTTCTTTCTCTATCACCAATCTACAACAGTGTTTCTCAACTTTCTTACCGCATAATCAATACGTTAATTCATAATAGCACCACGATTATCGAATGAATTGAATATTTATAATAGAATTAAAAATTACAAAGATCTAGTTGATTGGATATTTGTGTTATTAAATATAATATAAATAAATAAAATTATACTTAAATGTGTTTCAAAATTTTTACGATTTACAGAAAATTTAATGCGACTCAATATTCTTGACCCATAAATCGAAAGATGCTGATTTAGAAAATTTGTAATATATATATATATATTATACGTATATTTAAGTGAGCTCATTATATAAACGTATATAAATAAATAAAATTATATTTATATTTGGAATTTTTATGAATAATCAAGCAATTTTTACGATGATAAAAAATTTAACATGGGCCAATATTCAATCTCGATTCATAAATCGAAATGATCTACAAAATTTTTAATCTTTTTATGGGATACTATATCTCACCACTAATCTCCTGATAGATTGAGATTATTATATATTACATAAATAAATAAAATTATATTTATATTTCAAATAGCTATCTATCATTTCATAACCTATAAAAAATTTATCGTGGCCCAATATTCAGTCTCATAAAATCGAAAGATGGTGATCTATAAAATTTATAATACCCTATGTCAATCTAGTACTTACATTGGAGTCATAAAATATCATATAAATAGATAAACTTATTTATATGCATTTCGAAGAACTTGAAACAAGGAATCGACAACAACTGTCATTTTGCGATCCAATGAAGTTTTAATCGTGCTTCATGGATAGAAAAATTAATCTACAAAATACTCTATAATTAATTTAGCAGATTGTATATCACATAAATAAATAAAATCACTTGGATGTATTTCTCTTTTCCAATATTTAATCGTGTCTCCACAAATCGAAAAAGTGGCAAAAATCTACAAAATTCCTGATAATATCTTTACGAGCGAAACTGTGAGAGATTCAAATATATCTGACGAAAAAGGAGAAGAAAAGAGCACGTTTACGAACGTGACTGCTTAGAAATCGTTTTCAAGGCCCTTGTCAGTGAACACGACAGTTTCACTAGCACGCATAACCTGTCCACAGAGCGATATCGCGCCTTAATATCGGCGTGACGGGTGCACGCATCCGCGCGTGCGCGCACCACCCGAGAGGCGCAACCTGCAACCTGCGCGCTATTACATAACGCATCATTCGGAAATGCGCGGCGTCTATGCGCACGAACAGGGTGTTTCGAAAGTAGTCGCGCCACTCGTCTACCTATCGCATCTACGACCGCAAGCCTCGTGGTTTTGGGTGTTCAACGCGCGGTTAATTATAGACCGAACGCAATACTCGTGTCGTGGGACTCTATATGTAGATGCGAGGCTCGAAGGGTGATTAGAATAAGTCTGAATGGAAATTGGGACGGAGGAACACCGTTTCAATTACGTTTTCATATCTTTGTAGGTTAGATTAGACTTTTTTTTTTTAACTCTTTGGCACACAAATTTTTTTACGAATTATTTGTGCTTAAATTTGTGCTTTTATAATTTATTAATAGTTTAACGTGTTATAATCAATATGTGTTGTAATAAAATATGCTTTTTTAATTAAAAAGATTGACATAGTTTCATATTTTTTTTTTCATTATGTTGTAATTAACTTTATCAAATTTAATTAAATATTATTTGTAACAGAAAGTAAAATTTATATATTAATATTGAGATAATTTAAAGTAAATAGAAATTGTTAATTTTCACGATTTCCATGATTTCTATGTTGTATTAATTTCGAAAAATGAGTTAGTAAAATAATTCTTGCGAGAATATAAATTATTTCATTTTCATTCGTTCTTAAAAATGTAAGTATTTATTAAAGAGTAATTTTAGTGATATTGATGTCTAAATATTAACCTCTGGGTGGAGCTGGTGGAGCCCTCTTCGGGGTATCGTCGGCAGAGGGCGTTCTTTCCCTCATGCTTTCCAATGAGACCCCTTAGAGCCACCATTTAAACGAATCCGTGTGCCACGTCTTCCTGAAACACAACAATGAAAAAAATATTCAGGACTTATTCCTTCAATAATCACTTAATAACAAAATAGAATAATTTTTTTTTTATTTAATAGCACTACGTATTCTTGACTATAACTTTTTACTGCACAAATCTTTATTTAATTCATCATCTATATTATATATTATATAATTCACGAATTTTTACCAGAGAATATAATGTTTCTAATTTATTTTTCCATTAAAAAAATTCATTCTTATTTCGCGTCAAGTTCTAAAATGGAATACAATGAAAACTTTCAAACATCCAATCTTAAGAAATCAGTCAATGCAGATATTCAATGGAATAATTTATGACCTAACTGTATTACGATGTATATTGTACTTCTACGAACTATGATTCATCGAGGCGTAGAATATGACGAATTAACTACACTCAAAATGCAATTTCCATTTCTCAATTTATTTGCACATAGAAAATATTTCTCATATTTTATCGCAGATATATTCGATAAAATCGAATAATCACGATCCACTTGATACAGTTCCAATAAGTACGAAAGGCGGAGGAGGTTAGCGGATTCTGTGCATTGTTCGATGACGTAAAAAAAAAAAATGGCGGAGGACCTCGTATAATTGAGTAACAGTATCGTGCAGGTGATATGAGGTGAAGAATTGCGATACATATGCAAGACGACTAAGAGAGTTGGCTGGATCTCTTCTCGTATCGTCGAGATCGCATAGGAACAACTTATAGAGGTTCTCAACCTAGATCCCAACTGGAAATTGAATTATTCATAACAGTATAAGATAAGCAATTTCTTTAATCATGAAAACTTTATCAGATCTTCAACCTGCGTAAACTTTATACATATTTGTGTATCCTAACAAAACAATATGTAAATTACTTCGCTACTATCTTCCCGTTTATATCGTACCTTTGCATTGTAATTTATTATTCTAGATTAATTCTAATTTTATTTTTTGAATTTTTACTTGTTTTATTAATCATATGAAATGATTAATTCAAGAATTCTAGGGAAAAAACAATATTTGTTGTACACAAATTTGAAAACCTAATAACATGATATTTAATAAAATTAGAAAAAGAGATTAAATTAATTTTTTAACGCATGGAATAACAATTTTGACCGCATATTTATAATAGAAGCAACATAATAGAACGAGATACATTTATGTAAATTTTTTTCCCAATAAACTGGTGTAACAGATCATGTTTTGGAGAGAGATAATGATTAATTATTCGCGAATAACGCAAGTATTTTTTTGAATGTATAGAATTATTATATATATATATATATATATATATATACTGGACACACCGAAAGATAAGATATTATTCGAAACCTTCTCTTATCTCGAATAATCTACTTTACAACCGTGTATAACCGTGTAACCTAGAAGTTACACAGTGTATTGTACACCGAATTACTCAATGCTTAGATAATTTCACTTATCACTATGCACGATAAGCGCCATAGTATCTTGCGATTCTTATTAATAATAACAAGGTTTATTTTTACAATCGTTATTAATAATTACATTAGCATCAAAAGCGTTGAGAACAAGCCCTCCCTCTCCTCCCTCTCCCCTCCATGCTTTTTGCTCACGGACTAAATTCTTACTTAAATTCATTGACCAAGATTTCGTACTGGATCATACCGAGGTCGAGCTATTATTCGAGAGACAAACAACGGTAAAACAAAGTGCGCCCGTTCTTATGTCCCACTATATATTCGCTCGTGCAGCCATAACAGCGAGGCCAGTGGTTCTCCGCGTTGCGAATTTTCGCCATTGATCTTCGATAAATAGAGAGAGAGAGAGAAAAAAAGAAAGGAAAGAAACGACAGGTATTCCATCCGTATTGGCGGAATGTTGTTACGAGCAAACACACAGTGTGTGGCCCTTTTACGGCTTAACGCCGTTGAGAGAGGACCAGCGCCAGTGGTTCTCAACCGGCGAGGAGAGGAAAGAACGCGTGGCACGTCACGTCAAGGATCATCGTCCATCAACGATACCCCGGTGGCGATTCACCACCGTTACACTTCGTATAATGGGCATAATTGTGACGACCAGCAGCAGCAGCCCGTTATTAGACTTGTGTCGTTCCTTGAGAACCGTGGCAAGACCTCGTATCGCGAGTGGCTCAGTGGCTCTCACGAGATTTATCTGATCTGATCATAAGCTTCCCCTTATTAAAGAGAAAGAGAGTTTCGATAAAATTGTCGAAAGCCAATTATTGTTTCTCTTCTTTCCTTCTTCGAACTATATAATAAATGTTCTGTATATAACAAATATTCGCGATGCATTTGGGAAATAATATTCAATTAAGTGATTCAAATTTAAACAAAAAAGAATTGAAAAATTTTACTTAAAATTATCTGTGATAAAAACCAAGCAAAGATAAAAGAAGATAAATATATTATACATATATATATATATATATATTTGTAAATACTTGAGATATATAAAAAGGAACAAGAGTAACTCAAGTGGCGAGCAAAATTTTATAAATTCTCTCTTCTATGTGCATATATAATTTTCTTTTTTTAATCCAAATCCCATATCATGAAAAATTCGAAGAACTCTCGATTCTTTCCTACGACAATAACGGAGAAGATGGACGCCACATTCGAAAAACGCCGACGGGGAAACTAATCGTCTCTCTTCCAACGTGCATTCGATTTTGCCTAGCGGCGAAACCCGAGGATTCGGATTAGGTGTTGGCATAGGCCATAGGCTACCATACGAAACGACCCTGGGCTCTTCTCGTCCGCTTGGCTCTAAAGCCAAGGCGATGCATAGCGGCCTCTGCCTTTCTTTCCCTTTCTCCCTCCCTCTCCTTCACTCTCTCTCTCTCTCTCTCTCTCTCTCTCCCCTCGCCGTTTCCCTTCACTTCCGCCTAGCGTTCTGCTCAATCTCACGGGATTAGAGGGCTATCTGAATTGACGCTAACAGCAATTCCGACGGTGGGGCCTCAACAGGTCGTGGTATCGGTACGTATGCACCGAGAAAGAGAATTGTTGTACAATACAATAACAATTCGTGGAACTGTGGCAAGGAAAATAATTTTGAAGATTTGTGATTTAATTTTCAAAATTCGATCTAGAGAAAATTATGTTCAGGATGCGTTAGATATAATGCGTATATTGTATGTATATATGTCAAGTGCAAATGAATCTGATGACTCTGAGGAGGATCGATTGAGAGAGAGTGTCTCGATGAGAACGAAGCTTTATTATATAGTTGATACTGTTACGTGAATTTCGAACGAGTGAAAGCTTTTATTATTCATCACGTGTATGTAATATTTTATAATGTATATATATATATATATTTATTTGATGTACAGTTTGTTTGATAATACCTTGTTGGAAAACGAAATTGGTCGGAAGTTTGAATAATTGGTAATTTATCAGGCGCGTCATTGCTTTCAATGACCTTCGTGATATCACTAACAAGTTCAGTGCCAGCCGTTATTAGCGACTACCATGATTAGTATGCCAAGGAAAGAGGGAAAATGAACTTTTTTTTTTTTTGAGAAAGATGATAAAGAGTAATCAGATTTAAAATAAAAAAAAAAAAAAAAGAAATTTTAATTTGCAATTATGTAAAAGGGATATCGAGTTGCTCTAAGTGATATAAATATAATGATTCTTAGAAATAATTTCCAATGAAAAAATGGATATATTCTTAGATATTTCTAAATATAGAGATACAATCAGGAAATAAAACTTCGTGGGAACAAAAACAATCATTCAATTATTCCACGAAAAAAAAAGAAAAATAAAAATGTTGTATCTTTATTTTATTAAAATTCCATTAAAAAAAAAATCTTTCCACGTATTATCCTTTATATTTTAATAAAAACTTTAAAATTTACTTTCAATGTATAACAATTTTATACATTTTTTTTTTTTTTACATATTTATCTCAAAAATAATATTAATTTTTTTCTTCTTTTAATAAATGATTACAACTGATAGTTTCTTTTCCACACAAGTCAATATTGACGAAAGGATTAATGATATTTCTCGGGACCGTGCATCGCATCATGCGAGAGAAGAATTTAATGCAATAAAAGATGTCGTCTATATCCATAAGTGGCAAGTTTAAATACAGAATCGTCATGAAGATCAAAGATTTATCGAGGATTCCATTTATTTGTCTGGAATGCTGAAACGCGACATTCCAGTATGAAAAAGTCTGCACTGCACCACTATAACTTGGAACCATCCCATTTTCCCTTCCCTTTCTCCTCCT